GCACTGCCTCATCCTTCCCCAGCTTTGTACAGCGAGTTCCCCGTTCTCTTATGCCATGCAGTCCCTATATTCTGATTTACTGAAATTATTACCAGCCTTGTACTGGGCACATCACATCCCTAACTTGGACCCAGATATTGCGCCTGTAATTACAGGCAGCGTCTTTCCTCCACACTTAGCAGAAGACCTCCCTTCCTCATCCCACTCCCCACAAAAAACACTCCGGCAAAGCACGCCAGAAATTTTGAGTAGCGCACAATGTGTTTTACTTCTTGGATATTTTCCTAGATGTATAATTTATCATATTTTCTGAATATTCTGGAGGAATAACACCTAAGATGCTCTTCAAGATCTCTTGCCTTTTTCTCTGGAGCTGGTGAAGAAGCACTCTCTTTTTCAGGGAAGGGGAAAAAATTAATCTTATTTCAGTATTTGTATCACCGACTGATATTTCAAGTCCAAGAAGCTTTCATCTGGATAGACCAAATTTCCTGAAAATGTTGAAAACATATTGGTTCCAAACCTCCCCCAAAACCACATGTTCTAGATTAAGCATGTGTTTGGGAGCTGACATCCTCCTTTCCCCAGCTCCACCATGGTCTGGCATTAATAACACCGCACTTAAAAATATTTGAGAAGCCTTACATATCTCAGGCCCCTGTGAACGAAGCAAATATCATTACACCCATCCTGTAAATGAAACAACTTGAGCTTTGGAGGTTTGACTCAAGTGGAATATTTCATCAGGAGAAGTTACATTGAAGAAAAGAGTGGTCTTTTCATCGCTTGAAACCTCAAGTAACACGAGCTTTTCTTTCTGCCCCCTCCGCCTTTAGCATTGGTCAAATAGAGGCAGAGGGAGTCTTAACGAGTAGGAATATTTATGATTGATCATTGTAACGGTTCCTTCTGGTCCTAATGTCTGTGGAAGCCGGTGAACTCCCAGGCGTGGGGCTGGGACATCGTAGTAGCTGCTTTGCCTCTCTCTTTTTAAGAAGCCCCAATCGATGGAGAATTTCCCTCCTGGAGAGGTGGAAGCTTCTACGGCTGGAGGGTACTTGGAGGTCAGAGCTTTCCTGGAGAAAGGCAACACGGTGAGCAGGACTCGAGCGCTGGGACGCTCACCTGGCTGTCGTGCTCAGCTTCTGCTGGCGTCCCAACTCGTGCCCAGGAGCTCATTTCAAATTCCGTTAGCTCTGTCTTCTCCAGAAGTTGCTGGTGGCCTTGGGCAGAGCTTTGTCTGGCATTTAGCAAGTGGTCTGTTTTGTAAACCAGGTTTGGAAGAATACGCAAATTGCCATGGTCACTGGGAACAGTGATCATTAAACCTAATACTCTTCTTCCAGCTACAGCCAGAAGCTCGTACTTCAAAGGAAAAGCTGCATTTTGGGTTTTTTTTAGTGACAATCTGGTTTTTGAAATGTGCATGTTAGGTAAGTCACATAGAGCTTCCCACTTCTGTTTTCATCTTCCAAAGCAGGTGTTCATCTTGAGTGACTTGGTGATTTCAGGTCACCTTATGCTTCTTTCATGAGTGAGAGAGAAGCCACGCGGTGTTTCTGGAAGATGCCAACATCTCTTTAATGACCGAGATTTTCTGGTCTATAACCTGGGAGGAGGACAACTTCTCAGCATCTCCACCTTCTCTCGGAGGCAGAGCAGTGATGGCGATACGGAGCTGCCTCGCTTGGTCTTACGTGTTCCCCAGACTAGAGCCGTGCTTCGGGATGAAGATTGATGATCTCAGAGGAAGTTAGTGTGAGAAAACAGAAAAGGGATATTTTAATAATCCTGAGGGGCAGCAGTGAATGCTGAGAAGGGATTGGCGCAGCTGGTGGAGGACACACTGGCTGCTGCCTTTCCAGAGCTGGTTGAACACCCTGAAGGCATCAGGAGACGTCTTTGTTCTGATGCTCCTCAAATGTGTTAATGGCACCCGTCGACTTTATTCTGCTCTTGGCAACGGCGAGTCTGAGGAAATTCAGCAGCCTTCCTAGGTACTCGTCCTTTGTCCGACGGATTCCTATAATGGCCAACCTTTTATAGGTTTTATATAAAATAAGCGTAATTACAAAGATCTGTTCCCGACTATAAAAACAGTTTGAACTGTTTCGCAGGAATTTAAACTATTTCTTGTTAATCCGCACACACAACTAATAAGTGAACGCGGGGTTTTTTTAATATACTATTTATATCAGCATATGTCCTAAAGAAGTTTTTGATATTTTTGTATTTATAGTAAATCGCAGCAGAGTGTAGCGTGCGGGAAGAAAAATCAGGGGGGAAAAAGTAAACTCTATTAATCTTTATGAGAGAAAACATGTCATGTGTAATATCCTCGAGTTGCATCACCATCTGCTTTTCTGTGTTTTTTTTCTGAAGCCCTTGGAAACAATCCAGCAGATGCGAGGGCTGCAGGAGCTGGGGCTAGAACCTGCTCCCTGAAGCACAGTTAGATGTCTTCTGCTGCTTGCTGGGCCGCAGCTGCGGTTTTGCACAACAAAAACTCATTCGTTGCAGACATTTTCTTCAGCTTAAAGCGAGAAGCTTGCATCTGAACCGGCTCTTCGCTAAAACCCGTGGCCATAGTGCTTCTGCTGGGCTTGGCATTGCTTGGAGCTGTCCCCGTGCAGATGCCCAGCTGGAAGGGCTCTGGGAGCAGAAGGCTTCCAGGTGGTTCTTTCCTTTGGGCTGCGTTCTTTTGTTGTCATACAGAGCTGGCGTTTCCCGCAGTGACATTTCCCTCAAAGTTTACCGCTCTTGCTGGTCTTATATTCCCTCCTTTTCTGTTAGCATTCCCTTTTGTTTTCCCAACAGCTTTGGGAAACAAGCTTTTGGAGAAGTCTAGGTCTTCGGAAGGCCAGCACGGAGCGTTGCTGCTCTCTGATACCACGGTCCTCTTCTGTATTAGCAGTTTGTGTTGACGTCTTCGTCTGTAAAGCAAAGCTAAAAGGAAGGGTCAAGTAGAGCTGACAGCTCCTTCAAGGAGCGTTCAAGACCTTAAGCGTGAATTTAATTTCTGATGATGGAGAAGGGGATGGACTTGCCTAGGTCTGGGAGACAAAGAGGTGCTGGGTGAGGGTTGCTCTCGGATCCCATCAGGACTGGAATAAATCCTTGAACGCACTGGGGTGAAGCCTCTGGAAGCAGAGACAAGGGCAGTGGCAGCCAGCATTGATCAGTGGACAATTCTTAAAGTGAAACTAGTTTCCTTCTCCACAAAGGCGGTAGGTTGCGTGGGTTCTGGAGCAGCAGTAGGGATCCCATTCCTCGGGGTTTGTTACAAGTCTTTTGGTACTGCGGAGGATCATAGTGCATACGCCTCTAATCTACATCTTGGAGCAGGAAAAAAGCGTCTTCTCATAGACCTTCCTTGGAATCGAGTCATCTGATGGCCTCCATGAAACTAATCTTAAATAAATGTGGGTAGGATAAAAGGGTTGAGACCGAGAGCCCGTCCTGATGGCAAGGTGGGGTTGGCGGTGCAGGAGACTCTAGGAAAGCCGTAGGCTTGCCTCGCTTTGCTCCACTAATTAACAGGTAACAATGTGTTAATGAACAGACAGCAAGCCCCCTGCTTCATCAATTAACAGCCAGTTAATTGCTGCTTGCTGCGGCATTGGGCAGGCTTTATTGCCTACCTGTGGCCCCAAAAGGGGTGGCAGGCGGCATCGCGGGGTTTTCTTCCCTCCTGCACGTAGGGGTTGGGACCACGTCCATCGAGTGAGGTTTTCAAGCCTTGTGCCCCAGCACCTTTCGTGCTGAGGGGGACGCAGTTCTGACGTTTCGGTGGCGCTCGGCTTCGCGAGCTCTGCCAAGAGGCTTCGTGGGCAGTTTAGGCTAAATCGATAGAGAGGCGACGAATTTACCATTTTGAGCAAAAACGAGGAAAATTCTGTCTTCTGGCGTATCGGGTGAACCTTACGGCTCCCCCCCACAAATAAAATATCCCCCCCCCCCTCTTTGGGA